TGTGTGTAGACGGTGAAGCTGCGGTGGGGGGCGTGGCCATCCCAGAGATCAATGTAACGGGCGTGAGCGGTGATCGAATGCCCAACGGGGACTCCCTGCGGCCACGCCCCGATGGCCGTTCCCCGACAGACGGCGACATGATGGGTGCCACCTCTGAGGTCAGCATGGACCCCCGAGGTCATGACTCCAGCATACGTCTGGAGGTCAGGAGGCAGAAGTCTGTGAGGCGAATGGTGGAGAATGAGGGGTCTGGGTCAGCCTCCACAGGGAGGAACCAGTACTAAGGTCCTGCCCCTCCTTCCCCTTGCCCCACTCATGGGGTAACCTAGGTAACCAATTGTGGGGGTGTGTTCTAAAAAAGCTGCATGATGTCTTTTTTTTTTTTCTTTCTCCCCCCTCTGTACCTGTTTGCGTTGGGTTCTACCCTCCTCTCACTGTGCTGCTCCTCTCATCTGTCTATTAAGCATCATTCATTTTTACTCTCTCCTTTGTGGCTAAAGCTTCTTCATAAAGATCTCCTGCTGGAATTTCTAAAGAGCAAATGAATTATTTAATATGCCACTGAATAACAGATCAATAACCTAATAAAAAATGCATTAAAGTCAAAGGAATGACATTTGCTTATGATGAGCGAGTTGATGACATTAAAAGCAGAGTATTAATCAGAGAGGGGAATAATAACAGTGTTAAAATGAGACTTTCCTGATCAGTGAAGGTCACCCCAAAAGCCTATACTCACTGATAAGTCATGATGACCTTGAATAAAAAGACCTAGATATCTTTGTTAGCATATCGAGGAAACTCCTGTGTTTTCGCCGCAGTTATCAGAGACCTTCTTGGTCTGTTTGCCTCGACACATTACCCCAGGTTGCACCTGGTCACAGATTACTTCCTTCTGACTGGTAGGTAGGAACTGAGAAACGATACGTTGGTCTTGAATTATGTGCTTTCGCCATATTTAAATTTAGAATCCAATGAGTGAATATTTGTTTTGAAGAGGTTAAATCTGAGCACGAAAGACTGTAAGTGTAACAAGACCTGCCTATCTGTCTGTTTTTCAGCTGTTCTGGTGTTTGTGTTACACTGGTAGCATCAGATTAGAAATGTGTGTTTGTGAATGTGAAGGTGGTTGGAAGCTCACACACAGTTGTGGATGCATGAATTCAAGAAAACAGGAAAAGTTTTCTTGTGTATTTAGAGTTAGTGAAGAGAGAAAAAATATTTAGGGTGGGCCTCGGTTTGCTTCCCTTACTTTCCCTTCATGGTCTTTCATAGGCTTTGCTCTTAGATGCTGTCCTTTCCTGCTTTTGGGATCAAACATGCACTCCTCTGCCACTAAATTACTGACTGTTGTCTCACAGAGCTGCTGGGTCTCTTAACCTGTGTACTGTACCCGGACTTACTGTTTCTGGTCAGGTGGTGAAAGATTGCAGTGTGAGGTCGCCACCTGCTGGACAGTGATGGACCTCCTCTGTCATCCAGCAGCATGATATTGTGCAAAATTCAAACACAAGCCTCTAAAGGATTGATTGGATTAGACTGGATGACAGATGAGATTCTTCACTTTTGACACGTGTGCCGCTTTCTCATGTTTCTCTTGTTTCATCTCCCCCTGTCTATCTCACAGACGCAGTGGATCTGGGTTCCCCGGATGAGCTGATGGATATTTCGGAGGTGGATGAAGGGGTTTGGCCAGGTGGCGCGGGGCCTGACATGACCCCACCCACCATCACTATCAGCAACAGCGTCACAACATTGAACCTGGGGGCCAAAGCCATGAAGAAGTGTCGGCTTGGCGGGCGGACCAGCAAGGACAAGGACAAGGAGGCGGGCCCTCTAATGCCGGGCCGGGCTGCCAGCGAGAACGCAGAGCTGTCTGTCAAGCGGCTAACGCTCACTTCCAGCCAATCGGTGCCCAAAGCGGGTGCCCTCACCAGCCTGACGCGCACCGCCAGCGCTGTTTTCTCACGCTCCTTTGAGCACGTGGCCAGCGGCAATGCCCCTCCCTCAAGCAACCACACCGCCTCCGAAGCCGGCCGCTACTCCTGCAGCCTGCAGGAGGAAGGCTTGGTGTACTTGAGTCCAGCGCCAAATCACACACAGCGCTCCCCCAGCATTAGCGTTCATCTCGGCTCTGATCTTTGAACTCAAGTGTGACTCTTGACTCATGTCTGATCCTGTGACCCCATACCTGTGACCTGGAACTCCAAGCCATGCTAACTGCAGTTGACTGCAAAAGAAAGACTCCAGCTGTTTCCCCCTTGTCACTCCATTTTTTTTATTTTATCCCCCCCCCCGTATCTTTAACTCTCTGTGCTGTGAAATGCCGAGCGCAGTCAGAGGCGTCGAGGACGCCGCTTCCAGCTTTGTCTGACTTTTAGCAGTGCGCTCATGACCTGGACATAACTGTGGTCGTAAACGAGCGTGCTTAAAATTCAAAATCACTAAGAAACTATGTGGGAAAGTACTTCAAAAGTGATCTAATCTGTATTTGTTGCCCTCTGCATGGCTTTTCCATACATCCATCCTTACCGCCCAGGTTTGTTAAAGGGCACGTGTTGAGTGCGCGAGCATGTTTGTGAGTGAGTGAGTGTGTGTGCGTTGACTTTATCTGTACGTACAACTGTTTTTAGATAAAAAAGGCTGCTGATTGATGAAGTGAAATAGTTGATTCTCCTAGTTGGAACACTGTTTCTACTACTTTTATACAAAAATAATAATGATGATGATAATAATGGATCCCTTCCCATAGCAATACAAAACTGTCCTATTCAGTGTTTTTTATATTTTGGGCTGTTTACTGAATCTTCCTTCTGTTGGCACTTATCAGAAGTTATGCCTGTGCTTTATTCTTCCTAAAGAGAAACAAAAAACCTACAACTAAAACATTAAAAATCAAACGGTATGATAAGAATCTAGTCTTTATGTTTACAATCACACAGTTTTCTCATTAAAGATGGAGAAGCAATATTACCCCTGCCCCACCAACCCCCCACCACCCTCGCTCCTTCCTGAACTGCTGTGTATTTGATGGCAAAAATTTAAAACGAAGACAAAGAGGATTTGGGTTTTTAATGGATGATGGCTGTGTGTGCGTGTGTGCGTGCGTGTGTGTGATTTAAGTATTAAATTTTGCACATGGAAGAACAAATGAGTTGTGTTTTTCAGCGCTGGTATTTTCTTATTCATGAGAAAGTTTTGACTCTCAAACATTGTCTTTCCCTGTAAGAGAAAAATGCTTTGTTGCTCTTTTTTTAAAGGTTCCAAAGTGATTAAAGAATTTGGTATTTCACAGTAAAGTTCTGCTGACTCAACCTCAACTGTGGAAGATTGTCTGAAGCAACAGGGCATCTATCCCGTCCTGTGATCCACTCACCATTCCAGCTGTTTGTAGTGCTTTAGTGACGTGTTTCCTGTGTCTCCTCTTGTCGTTCATCACTGCACAAGACATGGTGATATTCTCTTGTACCAGCAAACAAATAAAAACTCCAACCATCAGCTAATTTTGATGTCTTAAATCAAGCGTTCATGCTGCTCGACCCTCAAGCAAACTTGTAGTCTGTTGTCTGTATGCTAGAGCTGTGTGTCTGTAGCGTGGTGGGACAATAATCATGTTTTTCTGTGTGTGGTTTAACAGAATGTGAACGGGTAAGCTGTTGTTGTACATCATACTGTTGTACTCAAGACCGGTTATATTGGCCTTTCTACGTCTGAAAATAACTCACTGCTACAACTTCTGGGAATAAAGTGTTTCTATATTTCACTTTTCTGCTCTTGTGTTTGTTTTTTCTGCTCATCACTAAACATCACACTAATGAAGTCACCTGAAACCCTTTCAAGTTTTTATATAAAGCATGCACATACAGGACTGTGACAAGTCTGGAGTCACCCCTCATTTCTCATTTATAAAGTGATCTTGAGCAGTAGCTCTCTAGCCATGCAGGGAGAAGGCATGCTGAGGTACACAAGAACTGGACTGAAAATCAGTAGATACTGATGACCCCAAACACACTGCCAGTGCAGTGGAAACATGCCTGAATAGAAAAAGACACAACTCAATGCTGCCAGTGATGGATTACTAAATCAGTGTGAAATCATTTTGACAGCGAGCAGAACAAAAGGTAGCCAACATCTAGAGAAGAGCTTTGAATGTTCTTCAAGAATCCTTAAGACTACTTAAGGAAAGGACAAGTAAGCTTGCCTCAGTGTCTAGGCTGTGTTGAAGAATAAAGGATAAAGGTCCTAGTACAAGATATTGACTTTCATCATCTGTGCATCTGTCAATAAATAACTGCTCCCATTTCCCATTTTTTCTAGCAAAACTGCTCCATAGGTGCAGTATATAAGTTTAAACCATGTGTGTGATGTGATTTGCTTTCTGATGATCTTTATGGTTGTCTACATCCACGGTGGAGAAGAACATTGCTCCAAACGATTGACTTTGGGAGGGCCTAATGTTATTTAAACGGTCTTATCGACTTAATAAAGTTTTGGCTTTAATTAAAGCCAAATCCGCTTAAAGAAAACTGGCATAATCAGTAAAATCATCTCATCGAGAACATGCTATCTGTTTCTAAAGTTAAAGTGTGGCAGTTTAGCATGTAAACTCCAACCAGCCGCCGCTACACGCCCATCCACAAGGAGGCGTCTTATGACAGCTGGAGAAGGTAAGTGTTTCGCTCTTCAACGTCACTTCCTTTTCCCTGCCCTTGGAAGCAGCACGAGACTGTCTGTTCGGCATCATAACATGGCTAAACTGAGCAAAGAGAGCAAACAGCGGCTGCAGCAGCTGTTCCAGTGCGGCCAGTTTGTCATCCGATGGGGTTTTATTCCAACCGTGCTGTACCTCGGTCAGTATCCGAATAGGAGTGAGGGGTATGCGGCGAGATGATGCTAATGCTAACCGGTTAGCTCAGCTTCATAGCATTAAACTGTATTTTCTTCTGTCCCGGTGAGGTTGACGTGTTGTATTGGGGCCCTCGTTAAAACAGCATATCAAACATAACATGATTAATAAAATGTTGCGAGCCCCAGTTTTATTTTTAAAAAACTGAAGTGTCTCTAGTCTATCAGCTATGGCTTTGCTGTACGTTGTAGAGGAACTCATGTAGCATGAACTCATGCTATGGATTTGTATGGCTAACCTGTTG